CCAAATGTTCAACAACAATAATAACCACATTTTAGGTTAATAGGAATGGGATTGTCAAACCAATGGCACAGGGGACAGGGCATTACCCAGGGGAACATGTACTAATATAGCACTACCCCATTAGGAGTCGCAGAAAATTTGGGTCCCCCTATAGCCCTGCACAGCCAGGCAACACGCATTTTCCATTCAGACTTGTACCAGGAGACAGAAACCAGGTAAGCTGAACCCCTATGACTACGAGCAGTAGCTCGAAAACGCGTCAGGGTAGAGATACAGCAGGTGTGACGCCACGCCGCTGGCACCACGAGAGGCCCCGGCGGCCATCTTACTTGCATTTATGGTCAGTAACTTTTTACATTCACACCTCATTTGTATACTTACCTTTGAATGGAATAAATATCCTAAAGATACTGCACTATGTGGGTTCTTTTGAGCTCCCTTGGGAGATGACTACACCCACAGAGCAAGCTACATCCATTGAGAGGTGACCCTCATGTGTGACAGCACCGTCAGGGAGGGAGATATACTGTGACCAGATCCATCCGATGATATTGGATGACCTGTGATTTCTACTATCAATGCGCATTTGATTTGCGTATCTGGTGAGTGCGCAATCATATTACTTTATATCACCTGATCCACGGTCTCCATCATAGGACATCCTTAGATCATTTGGGATCTCATCATCACCTCTTCTTTGGACTTTTATACTGGATTTCACACTTTCCAGCACTGTTAGCCACTATTTAGTGGCCTATATATATATTTGCACATTCTCACTTTATTATGTCATTTGCATATTCCTTTTTTCTGTATTATGGATTTTTAGGAGCGCTGCACCCCTCTGTGTTATTCTTGTGTCTTTTGATAGGTCTTATACGGTGCCTTTTTGGTGTACAGCTGCTGCCAGTGTTGATTCTATTTAGCGCTCACTTATTCTTCTTGTATTTATAGGCCTTGAGCTTTGTTTTGAAGTTTTATTAGCGGTTTAGAAATTGGATAGGGTAAGGGGTATATGGGATGCCCAAGGGAATGGAAACTGAGGACAAACTTCCTGAAAATATATTTCTAGTCTTTGCACAGAAATCCTCTTCTGAAGAACTATCCCAATGCACCTCTCCAACCCCAGATGCTCCTCAGTCTGGCTGAATGGAGGAATCCCTGGACAGGGGATCCAGTAGTAATTACGAGAAGGGCAACAGTCCCAGTTGTAATGCGAGTCAGGTTTCCCACCCAAATTTTCTCTCTCTCTTTTCTGGCCCAGGGAGTGTAGGTGTACTTACTGAGTCCTTCTCCTGTGCTACTGTTGGGTCGGAGGCTGCTATCAGGCCTTTAAGCTGGGCTGCTCTTTCCCTGCTGCCAGATAATCCTCTCTCAGGGGGCCAGTGAAATCCACAGCTTTCCTCCTGTCAGGCATTACTCCTGGAGGTGAGCCCCTTCTAGCCTTGGCTTCCTCCCAGAATCCTGCACCTTTACCTCTCTCTACCACCTCCTCCCTCCTACTCCTGCTGCTGAGCAGGCTCCCTTATCCTTAAGGGTTGTCCTGGCCCCTTGCCAAGCCTCCTGTTGGGGATTGGCCTGGATCCCTCAAGAGTACAAGCCAGCCACTCCCCAGATCCACCCACTGCCTCTAAATCTTCCTCCAAAACTATAGAGCAAGGGGAAATTCCAGAGGGGCTCGCCTGTTGAGCATCTCGACCCTGACCGAAATGTAACCTCCTGACTATCACGCTCAGGCTGCTACTCAGCCCTCCTCTCTATAATAATAATAATTAGGATTCTAGCTCCCCCTAGCTCACTAGATTAAAAAATCAGTTTGTTAGGGATCAGTAATTTTAATAATGCTTTAAGTGAAACATTACAATTCCTAAATTCCAGGGGCATGGTGTGGCATGGACCCAGATGAAGGGATGCTTAAGCCTACTGCTCTGACACATGACAGTCTGTTTCTAACCCTCTGAGGGAGACAAACAAAACTGAGATGGAGAAACATTGGCAACTCGCTCCCGCTCACCCTGAGACATGGGCACATGGCTAAGAAAAAATATCCCCAAGATATTTCGGACTCTACCCAGGGAAATGGTGGCCACATCTCCTGCTCCCAGAAGCTCATCTGCTCGGAGAGCAGAAGTCCAATACTCTCCTCCTACACATCAACTACCACAGTCTTTTTGCCTGTACCCAATACTAGAGCCCCAAGTCTGGAAGACTTACAAGCAGTTGCCTCTGACATCAGCAAAACACTGAGAAGAAGTGGAGAAAACTACAGCCCGCCATGACACTGCCATACAGGAAGCAAAGCAGGTCACAGATGTACATTCCCACTACCTGCGAGACATACATAGACATCTTGAAGACCTGGATAACAGAGGCTGCCATCACAATCTGAGGGTAAGAGGTCTCCTGGAAATGGTAGAACCAGACCAACTATCTCAAGTAGTGCTGGCTATATTTAATGACCTTCTGGGGAGACCTCTGGAAATACCAATAGATATAGAGCACCTCCATCAAGCTCTGAGGCCTAGAGGCAGGGACTTAGACCCACCTAGAGATGTAATTTTCTGCATTGTAAACTTTAAGCTGAAAGAAGAAATCTTATACAGAGCAAGAACAAGGGGAAGATTAATGTACCATGGAACAGAGATCAAACTGTACCAAGACCTGTCACAGATTACCTTGCAAGAACACAAAGATCTCTGACCTCTGCTAGACCTTCTTAGAGAGCAAGGGATGCCATATAGATGGAAGTTTCCCTTTTGCCTATCTGCAGGCACCACAGGCTGCATTGCACAGTTCAGAGCCCCAGAAGACCTTCAGATATTTTGTGCCAGCATGGACATTTCCTAGATGGACCTGCCAGATTGGCACAGCAACCTCCACCTCCCTACACAGTTCCTGCCCGAACCGATGGAGATGAAACAACAGGGAAAACCCCAATCTATAGAAGACGCCATGCCTCACAACGCACCTCGCCACCACCAGCTAACTGGCGATCACCAGAAGGGGGGAGTGTACCAGCCTCCCCAGCTTATCGCAAAGCCAGATGTGAGTAACTTCACGAAGGGCATGATTCATACTACGCTATACAGGAAAATATAGTCAACACTTTGTAAACTAAAGTATTTCTCTCTACTCCATGTGGGCTGCACTTAGAGATGTCTAAATCTAAGACAATTCTGGAAATATCCATATAAGCCACCCCATAATGTGCACTAATTTCCTACCCATCCTTGTTGGTACATGGACTGGAGAAGAACACTTATAGCCACATACTCTAAGACAACATCATTTTCCTTCTGTAATAATTCCTTGTAGCTAAATAGATAACACCACAAACATACACCCTCTCTCTGGAAGACCACCAGTATATATATGAATGTCTACCAATTGAGACTATCTTTTAAAAAGAGAAGGGTGGGAAGTAAAAAAAATGTGATAAGGAACTTCCTATGAACATTATAGGATGCACAGCCAACCTTGGCTCAGGGGTAGAATATACTATACAAGAGCACTTGTACTCTTTACTCAAATAAGCTTAATATTCTACCCTAAACATAGAAAATATGGTTAAACCTAGATGAGCAGCTCCTATACAGGGAGTTCATAAGATAAAAACCAAACACTTATGGTTATTTTGTTGTGAGTTGCCCACACCTTTTTCTAATAACAAATCCAAGAAGCTATATTTAAAGTTTAAAATTTAAAGCACAAATTGATACACTGTAATCCGCTCTTGCAATCAATATTTCTAGGGCTCATACAAAACCTATTTGATGACACTTGGATTTATACCCTGCTAAAATCTACAATTTATTAGCACAATGGCTGACTTAAATGAATAAGTACTGTGAGAAGGGGAAACAGCTCTAATTGTTTGAACACTGTGTGGAAGTAAATTAATGTTTTGACTGACATTCTGCGGTTTAGCCACAAGATGTCACTGTTTTTCTAACACAGCCTCAGACTGCATAGATATTTGTATATTCATTAAGAGGTGGGGTTTTGCACTCAGAGTTGGAGAGAACAGGAAGAGGAGACTGCAGCCATGTTTTGGACGATGCTGAATGAAGGGGCCGTGTGAGCTGAATCCGATGACATCCAGGTGTGTATGCGTCCCTCAGTAACCAGACCTGCAGCTGAGTGAAGCTGATGAGTTTGCTGCCAGGAAGCTGATGAGACCAGGGGAACTAAGCAACATACACAGCAAGAGCGCATGCTTGTTGGAGAGACATTTGTTCTGTTCAGAGTTACCAGCGGATCCAAAGCAGACCCGGGTCGGTAAGATCGTGCACACACCTCATTTCAGTGTTGGCGCCTTGAGATTGAGTTCAGGCCTATAGTTAGTTAGTTAGGGTCTCTGTTTGTGTCAGGCCACAAGTGTTGTTACTGATTATTGGAAGGACTCCACAACTTAAAGTGACATTTCACATTGGAGAGCTGATAAAATCCTACAAACTCAAACCAGACTGGCGTTTTGCTCAGAAGGAATACTCAGGCACGTGCTACAGGACCAGTTATGGGAGAGGGAATCCTGTAGATTTGTGTAAGATTGTAAGCTGTTGTGCTGCACCGCAGGCTAGCCCATACCGTACACCCATACACTGATTCCTGCTCTTTTAGGGTAATAACAGGTAAGGTGCGGCAGCTTATTTGTGCCCGCCAGTAGGCAAATTACTTCACTTTCTATCTTCATCCATCAGAAGGCGCTGTGCTGTGCAGCACAAGGGTCTCAGCCTTTGGGTTGGGTGGATGTAAATTTATTGTATGTTTCCAGCATTTGTGGTTGTGTTTATTTTCCACATCTAAGTAAAATTATGTTGTGGCAAAAGCTGGTGTTGGGGTTGCTTTCCTCGTTCTTGACTTCACTGTATCCTGGGGAGCCCACCCCGGTACACATCTTACAGTACTGTACGTTTCGCTCCATACGACGCACTGGGGGGAAAATGTCAGTGCGTCTTGTGGAGCAAATATGGAGCAGCCGGTCAGAATACCGGGCCGGCAGCTCAGCTCTTCAGCAGGACCTTACCTGTTCCTCGGTCAAGCGCTGTACAGTCTTCCCACGCCGGCATCTTTAGTTTGGGCACCTGGCTGTGACAGCAGGGTGCCCACTGCACATGCGCGAGAAGTGCTGCGCTTTGTGAATGGCCTGGCGTCTTCTGGGACCTGTCATATGTCCCAGAAGACACCAGGCCATTCACAAAGCGCAGCGCTTCTCACGCATGTGCAGTGGGCACCTGGCTATCACAGCTGGGTGCCCACACTAAAAGGACGACAACTCCATGGAAGTGGGAGCGGGAACCTGTCAAATTCAGGTACCCGCTCCCCCTCCCTCCCCAAAGATCCACAGTCTCTGGTCATCTCCTGTACTGTCTGCAGTCTCTTGGTCATCCCCTGTACTGTCTGCAGTCTCTTGGTCATCCCCTGTACTGTCTGCAGTCTCTTGGTCATCTCCCCTGTACTGTCTGCAGTCTCTGGTCATCTCTGTCTGTCTACTGTGTCCACAGTCTGTGGTCATCTCTTGTACTGTGTCCGCAGTCTCTGGTCATCCCCTGTACTTTCTGCAGTCTCTGGTCATCTCCTCTACTATGTATGCAGTCTTTAGTCATCTCCTGTACTGTGTCCGCAGTCTCTGGTCATCTCCTGTACTGTGTCCGCAGTCTCTGGTCATCTCTTGTACTGTGTCCGCAGTCTCTGGTCATCTCCTGTACTATGTCTGCAGTCCATTGGTTCAGAATATTTTTTTCTTGTTTTTCTCCTCTAAAACCTAGGTGCGTCTTATGGTCTGGTGCGTCTTATGGAGCGAAAAATAAGGTATATTGCCTACTGTCAATGACTACCCAATATACATTTCTAATTCCGATCCCCAATAGTATACCTATTCTCCTGTGCTTTGAAAGACTTCTCTGTCTTTACTCTCATGCAAAAAGAAACCCTGTTGACTGCATACCCATATAATCTCCTGACAACCAAATACTACTACAAAGCGATCAACATAATCTTTGTTACTGAAAACCGGGAACCCCACCGTTCATACACAGGAGCCATGAAAGGTGGTTACACTGACTATTCATCTTCCTCTCCTACAACTCTACCCTCATTAACTGCTCCCCATACCCCTCCCCCTTCATCCTTTTTCAAATTTTCCCACTTTCCCCCTTCTTCACCCTACCCAATCCTCCTCCCCTCATCATCCTTCCTCTACTTCCCCTTTTTATAAACTGTGCTCTGTGCCTATGTACTAGAGGGAAACATTGTAGATATGAAGAGTTAGAAGGTATGGGTATGGAGATGTCAGAACCTCTACTCTCACTCTCCCAACACATCTTCTGTATACCTAACCTCTCCTGACCCATCAGAATATTTATCTTTTTGGGACCCTCTATCCATTTCCTAACAGAAGAATCTTGTTTGTTTTTGAGGCCCTATGTTATTGATACTTAAAATATGTAATCCACATTTAAACAAATCAATTTTCTGTTTTCAGTGATTTATTGAGTTACTTTTATCTAGAATGGATCTGATTGGCTACACCCTCAATGTCCTATATATTTTTTTTTTTTACACCAACACACTTTAATTTTTGTTTTCTTTTCTTTTCCTTTTTGAGGTTGGGAGCCTAGCTGACCAGAAACTTACCCTTTAACTGTTATATATTACTTGTTCTTTCTTACAATATTGTAAAAGATATTTCGATAAGAGTACTTACTGCATAGTAACTGAGGTATATACACATCGTTCTAAAAGGTGGAGGGGGGGGGGGGGGGAACATGTCTATGGTAACTTCAACCAAACCTCACCTTTGACTGGAACACCACCCTACTACCTTAATACTTCCAGCAACTATAGCAAAGAAATATTGTCCTTACTTCAAACTGCTTGCCACTGCTTACCCCATAAAAAAATAAAGATGAAACACAAACCTTCCCTGTAATGCTATAACCTAACTCAATTAAATATTAGTGTACCGTGCCAGGCAATTAAGCACACAACATTCACACTATTACCTCCATATACCATAGACCTAGGTGAGACGAAAGCTAAACTAATAGATCAGATAGAAGTCCAATTTACCAAGACCACAATTACCCACATATGTGACCTTTCCCCAACCATAAACAAACCACACCCTCTCTCTCCACAGTAGGCATTGTAATCCTTACCCACCTTAGGACACAAGATGTGTCGAAGAGTTCCCGCACATCGACTACCTTTTTTACACAATTAGTGTCCATCTACTCAGTGTCCTACCACCCACCACAACAGCACAGCAAACAATCCTCTGCTTACCCCTTCTGACCTTCTCAGCATCAATATCCCTTAAAATAGCCTCATTCAATGCTAAGGGATTAAACCTGCCAGAAAAACTATCACAACTCTTAATGTGCATGAAAAAGTTTTCATATTTTTTTTTTGCAAGAAACTCACTTTAGATCTGATAATATTCCTAAAATATTCAATAGGGCTTTTCCCATAACATACCATGCTACAAACCCCCTTGCTAAGACAAAAGGAGTTACCATTGTCATCTCTAAATATCCCATTAGAAATCACAGATTCATTATTAGACACAGAAGGCCACTATATATTTCTCAAAGGCTCAGTTTGGGGGAGACCAATCACCCCAATTTGGCTCAAGTGAGCTTTTTTGCAACATAGCCAGTATACTTGTCCTCAGTGACCCTCTAGAAGACACATCCTCAGACTCCTCATCCATGACATATCATGCTCTTCGCCAAATCAAACTTCAACTTCAAGAATTGTTGCTCCGTGATTCTTGGCACACTCTCCATCCTGGAGATAAAGGTTGCACATTTTTCTCCACCCACACAATCAATATTCCAGGATCAACTACCTTTGGCTCTCACAAAAAGACCTCCCATTTCTAGCAACTGCCACAACTGAGCAGATGTTCCATTCTGATCATCACCCAGTTACCAAGACCTTGAAACTCCCAGAGCACCTCACGTACACCTAAACTTGGAGACTCGACACAACCCTAAGGACTGATCCCAGAAATGTGAACACTATTTACACAAATATATCAGATGTCTTCCAGAGGAATAACATACCCGAAACTCGTCCAATGAGAAGCGCATAAATGCGTCATAAGGGGAGCTTTTTTAGCCATATCAACAGCACGTAAAACAAAAAAACAAAAACAAACAAGCATCTATTAACACCTTGCTAAAAAAAAAATACAAAAAATTAGAATGAATTCATAAATTGACTAGTGCACAACAAACTTTGGCAGACTTGACTTATGCATGATCCCTCCTGCTACAAGAACCTTGCCGAAAGGTAATACGTGAATACACTTTATCTCAGAAACTATTCTATGAGCTGAGCAACAAAAGTGGGAAACTTTTAGCCAAAGCGATACAAACCAAAAAAGCAAACACCACAATCCGACAAATATGTACACCTAGTAGCCAAGTCTTTCTGACCAGCGAAGAATTTTCTAACCACTTTGCACAATTCTACTCAGAGCTACACTGCTCAAAAAAATTATAGGAACACTTTTTAATCAGAGTATAGCATAAAGTCAATTAAACTCCATGGATATTGATCTGGTCAGTTAAGTAGCAGAGGCAGTTGTTAATCAGTTTCAACTGCTTTGGTGTTAATGAATTAACAACAGGTACACTAGATGGGAAACAATGAGATGACCCCCAAAACAGGAATGGTGTTACACGTGAAAGCCACTGACATTTTTTTCCTACTCATCTTTTCTGACTGTTTTTTACTAGTTTTGCATTTGGCTAGTCTGAAGAGCATGGAGGATACAGGCAGTGACCATAGGAGAGCTGGACAAGGCTTTAGCCCATCAGCAGGACTGGTATCTGCTACATTGTTCAAGAAGGAACAGGATGAACACTGCCAGAGCCCAACAAAATGACCTCCAGCAGGCCACTTTTGTGAATGTCTCTGACCAAACAATCAGAAACAGGCTTCATGAGTGTGGCCTGAGGGCCCAACGTCCTATAGTGGGCCCTGTACTCCCTGACAGCACCATAGAGCTTGATTGGCATTTGCCATTGAACAACAGAACTGGCAGGTCTGTCACGGGCAACCAGTGCTTTTCACAGATAAGAGCAGGTTCACCCTGAGTACATGTGACACACGTGAAAGGGTCTGGAGAAGCTGTGGAGAACGTTATCCTGCCTGTAACATTATTCAGCATGTCCATTTTGGTGGTGGGTAAGTGATGTTCTGGGGAGGCTTATCAATGGAGGGACGGACAGACCTCTACAGGCTAGACAATGGCACCCTGACTGCTATTAGGTATCAGGATGAAATCCTTAGACCCATTGTCAGACCCTAGGCTGTTGCAGTAGAGCCTGGGTTCCTTCTGGTGCACGACAATGCCCGGTCTCATGTGTCGAGAGTATGCAGGCAGTCCCTGGAGAATTATGGAATTGATACCATTGAATGGCCCCCCATGCTCACCTGACCTAAATCCAATAGAACATCTGTGGGATATCATGTTTCCATCCGACACTGCACGGGTGCACCTTAGACTGTCCAGTATCTCAGTGATGTCCTGATCCAGATCTAGGGGGAAATACTCCAGGGCATCATCCGTTGTCTCATTAGGAGCATGCCCTGGCATTGTCAGGCATGCATACAAGCACGTGGGGGCCATACAAACTACTGATTACCATTTTGAATTGCTGCAATGAAATTTCAACAAAATGGACTAGCCTGCTGCATCATTTTTTCAATTTGGCTTTCAGGGTGTCTTTGAATTCAATCTTCTGTAAGTTGATAATTTTCATTTCCATCAAACGATGGAGCATCCTTACGTTCCTAACACCTTACCCAGTCCATAGCAGTATAGATATCCAGTATATTTTTCCCCACTGAGTTCTGATGTGTTTTCAAAGTGTTCCTTTAATTTTTTTGAGCAGTGTCTATAATCCCCCCTCTGAACAACAACCATCTACAGACAAAAGACCTTGGATCTAATTCTTGACAAATTCCTTAAAAAATACAGTCCTTATCCAATCTCTTGCCAACATGCCAGCAACATGGATGATCCAATAATGGTTGAAAAATTTACCCAGGCACTTAAACAAATGAAATTAGGCAAGAGCCCAGGCCAAGATGTTTTTTCAACAGTCTACTATAAAACCTTTCCAGACTTACTTGCCTATCCATTTCTGCAGGCATTCAATCTCCTATCAGTTCCAGTGCCTCTATGGAACAATTTATTAGAAGCTCATATCTTGGTTATTCCCAAGCCAGGTAAAGACCCAACCCTAGCATCCAACTATAGAACCATATCGCTATTAAATGTGGACATAATAATCTTTGCCAAAATATTAGCAAACTGCTTACTTCCTGTACTCACAAGCCTTATAGAAAAAGATCAAGTAGGATTTATCCCGAGCAGAGAAGTCAGGGACAACATCTTAAAAGCTACTAACATCCACCACTGGCTCTCTAGTTCCAAAGGGGCTTCTTCCTGTCTCTTGACACTAAAAAGGTATTTGATAGGCTGGCCTGGGACTACCTAGAAGCTGTACTTCATTGAATAGGTTTAAGCAATCAACTGATTCGCCTCATCATATCTCTATATGCTGATCCTATGGTGAAAGTTCGGGTCAATGGTCTCCTATTAAACACCTTTCCTATCTGAAATGTCACACGTCAAGGTTCTCCGTTATCCCCCATATTATTCATCCTGACCCTAGAACCCTTCCTGCACCGCATACTAGCAAATACAAAT